GGAGTAAATTCCCTACCTTTATCACAGGGTTAGAGCATACTTGTAGGCAGTTGTTTTGGAGGATTAGGCACTTACCTACTGCTGCAACTTGTTCGTGGGACCAAAACCCTATCAATTTCAGAAACAGTGCTGAACCCTACGACTAGTCCAAAAAGGCCCAATGTATAAAATGCCCTACACTTATCAAAACCCAGAGTGGTTTATGACATAGCCTTTTCTCTCGTAGGTATTTGTAAATTTTGCTAAGGATCAAAGTGATGATGACCACACTAAGGACCTGTCACTGCACAAAAAACAGACTGTTGTGGACATTGCAATCCTTAATTCCTTTCTGCAAGATGAGAAGGCAAAAGAAAGTTGTGTGTGAGCCAACTTCAGCAAAGAAATGATGAGCAGAAGGCAAACTTCCTTTACCTGAGATTAGCTTCTTCCTTGGAGGTATACTGAGGAAAGAAAAACTGTACAGTCTACTGCTTTCCATTCAATGCAATGCAATTCAATGCAATGAAAACAAAATTTCATTACAGAGGCCATGTCTTGTGGAGTCAGTGTCTTGTACTGTTCTCAAGTGAAAGACTTGAATTCAGCTCATTACAGTATAACTCTGAAGCTGTGGTATAGCACCCACCAGATGCTATGGGCTTTCAGCCATACTGCATCTTGTTCCTATACAGTATATTTTTACTAGGGTTGCAACAACAGTTCATTGAGAAATCACAGCTAGGGGTTATTTATTGTTATTTTTAAAGGCATGCATGTTTTAAATATCCATGTCAGGAGTGGGAATTCCCTGGTGCTACATCCATTGCTGGCAGTGAATGCACTAAAACAGTCAGTGGCAAGGAGTTACCAAACAATGTTGTGGCCTTATTTTGTGAAAACTTACCGAATCAGCTGCTTTTCATAGACTGATGTAGGTCAGTTGCTTATAAATTGAGGCCACAATGCAGAACTGTGCAGATGAGATGTATAGATATGATGGCCCATCTCTTTACAATCTACTTCAATAAATTGTGTGATATGCAGAACCACAAACCCTCCAAATGCCTGTGATTGTTTCACCAGCATCACAACTGATCACCTACTCTGACCAGGTTTTTGTATAGTTAAATACTCTCCTTGCTCCTTTTGAGATACTGCAGCAGTTGCATGAACACCTAGTAGAGGGAAGTGGGTGAGAAACAGATCTAGGATTTAGACCACAACAGCAAACTCGCTGGTTGTACAAACTGCTAATGCCAAGAGCATATTCTAAATCATGAGACATCACTCTGATATGTAATGTCTGCTCTTTAACCCCTGCTTTGCACCATAAAGGTACTCAGCATCTGAAGTTTATTGCTTAGTACACATGTTGCCATTTTTGGTTTTACCAGTTAAAACTAGAAAGCAGAGGACATGTAGATTTTTTTAAGCAGTATTATTTATATGACTTTAAATAGGTAGCATAATTAGGGATTGAAAATGCTTTCAGTTGATCTTTGTAGCTACAGTATTTTGTAACATTATGCCTGCAATGATATGCTCTCATTCTCTCCATTTAGTGATAGTTATATACATTGTCTCTGCAAGTTCCAGACCCTGTGTCCTAACATTCAACCAC